TCACACCCTGCCACCTTCCCCATTCCTACTCATCTCCCGCTGCCCTCCAGGCGCATGCCGTGGGGCAAGGGGGCCTTCATGCGTGCACGCTGCTGAGCCTCCGCTGGCTCCTTCCCTCCCACGGGAGCATGCACAGCTCATGTCCTGCCACCTTCCCCCTTCCCACTCATCTCTCTCTGCCCTCCAGGCGCTGAACATGGGGCAAGGGGGCCTTTGAGGGTTGTTTGCGGCTGACTCACGAGCCCCTTCCCTCCCATGGGAGAATGTACTCCTTACCCCCTGCCACCGTTGACCTTCCCACTCAACTCCCTCTGCCCTCCAGGCGCTGAACATGGGGCCAAGGGGCCTTTTTGTGTGTTCGCCGCTGACTCACGCGCTCCTTCCCTCCCACGGGAGCGTGTGCTCATCACACCATGCCACCTTCCTTCTGCCGTCATCATCTCCCTCTGCCTTCCAGGCGATGAGCATGGGGCAAGGAGGCCTTTGTGTGCGTTCGCCGCTGACTCACGAGATCCTTTCAGCTCGTTGGAGCATGTACTCCTCACACACGAAACCATTCCCGCTTCCTCCCCACCCCTGCTATGCCACCCGGGTGCTATACACAACTCCTTTGGGGCGCTTTTTTAGGTTTACCTCTGCCTCACGAGCTCCCCCATGCACACGTGAGCATGTGTACTCACTCTACCGCCTTCCCCCTTCCTCCCTACATCCCTCTGCCACACGGGTGCTAAACAAGGGGGATCGCAGCCCTTTTTTTACGTTAACAACTGCCTCACAAGGTCCTTCCCCGCCCACGGGGGCATGTACTCCTCACACACCGCCACCTTTTCCCCCCAACCTAACAAGCTGCCACCTTTCCCTCCCAACCTATCTCCCCCAGCCCGGTAGGCGCTAGACATGGGGCATTGAGGGTTTCTTTCAAATCATCCTCTGCCCCAAGAGCCCCCACCAGCTCACTGGAGCATGAGCTCCCCTCACTCTGCCGCCCACACCCCTCGCCACTTCCCTCAGCAATCATGGGGTGGACCATGGAAGAAAAGGCGTTTGCATTCCACCTATGTCGCACGAGCAACCACTAGCATCCAGTGCAGCCATAAATCATCACGGCCTTACCCCTTCATTACTCCGCCGTATCCCCGTCTTGCCAACAGGTGTTCCTGCTATGGGTTTCGCCACCCTAAACCCTGCTACCAGACCAATCTCCCTTCCTCCCCATATCACCGTAAACCGTGGGATCGTCCCCTCCTCCCAAACATGTTGCTCCTTCCCGCCTCCCTCCTTATCTCCTACCCCCAGGTGTGGATCATCGGGCAGGCACTAGCCTCCAAGACCGTCGTGGCTGGTTTGGCGCTTGGTGTCTGCGGGTGCTGCCTTCATAACACAAACCCTAATTGCTGGGGTTGGGATAGAAGCACTCACATTTGCCGTCTGTGCCATTGTGATTTTGGCTTTGCAGGCGCACACGACGATGGCAATTCCGGCGGCAGAGGGAGAACATTTCTCACGTGTCGCTCATTTTGTGAGAGCAGCCCCTGATTCATATTCAAGACCCTGGTTCTCAGATGTGGCTGTCATGGGGACCGCGCGAGATGGGAGCAACACTGAATGGTATGGAAAGCTTCTGCTTTTGTTCCATACCATGGTCGGGGGCTGCAAGAAGGAGTTGGCATATGTCAAGTACTGGACCAAGACGGGCGAGGATGCGAAAACCGGTTGCTCCCGGCTTGGTTGGACTCCCGGACGATCACTTTATTCTGTGATCGACGCCGGCTCAATTTACAGGGAGGTGCACGTTATCAAGGCGTTCCATAGCGACTCTGCATATTTGCTCAACAAGTATCAACTGAGGGGATAAATCTACAGTTGCATTGTAAGTAGTCTATAACCTTGGGGGGCTTCCACGGACAACAGTAGCATGTAGACGCTTAAATGCTGCAAGGAGATCCATGCAAGGTTGCCGTAGTTGTTTACCCTTTGAGTACGATTTCAGCCAGCACTGCCAGCTGAGTTAAGCTTCCAATTATAAGTAATAATGATATTGATGAAAGCTAAATGTGTTACTAAAACTATGGTCAAGCTAAACCAATGTTAGACCCTTAAAGCTCAAGGCCCAAATTGTTCAACCTTACTAAGGTTGCCCTTTGGGTGGTGGGAGAGGAAGGTTGACTTTTTTTAAGATGAGCTGTTCAGTTTCGCCCAGCTTCGCGCTACACCCTCAGGGTTTTCGCTGACTCAACAAACCCCAGGGAGCAACTCAGTTTTGGTTCTCGAGTCCCAAATTGCACTCGCAATATTCTTGGTGTTTCCTTCTTTCCTATTCGACCAAAAACTGTTGGCAAATCAAATTTCATCGCACCCCTCGTAACCACAATTCGCAACCAAACACGACTCAAAACACGACTCGCATCAACTTTAGTAATCTTGCCTCGCGCGCTCTGCAATTTGGGCCTTGAGCTTTAAGGGTCCAATCTCGGACTACCCTGTAGAGTGGTGTCACTTCGGTCAATTCATTGACCAGAAATTGCCCTGAAACAAAGCCGCGATTTCTGAAATGTCGCGGCTCGACGAATTTGGACTTCGACTGGACGCGATTTGGTTGCACCCGCCAATTTCTGGCCAATTTGGCACGAATCGCGTCGAACCCCTCTGAAACAAAATTTGTTGGCCCCAAACTCCCTCGAAGCCCCACGAGGGTTGTTTGTGATGTTCGGAGAGGCTTGTGAATCGTTGATTGCAGCGGTGACGGCGTTTAGGGCGCATCACCTCGGGGCTGGAAGGGCCAAATCCGAACATACGTAACGAATTCACTGTGCGAACAGTTTCCTGACAAGATCTCAACACAAATTTGAACACCCTGGTGGATGTGACAGCTCGTGACTAGAGGTGACAGCCTGTTCGAACATGCGACGTCGCCAAGTGTTGGACGACGTCGCGAAACGTCGCAAGAAAAAAATTCAGTCGTCTGCCATTCCAGTTTGACCCATTTGTCGCCCATCCAGTCAAAATGTCTCTTCGTGCTCTTTTACTACTGCTCACCTTGTTGTTTCCCAGCAACAATGTCATTTTCGATGCACTTTCTCCTGCCCGGCGACACTTGCAATGGTCGCAAACATTCGTATGCGACCCGAAGCCTGCTGACCAATCAAATCAGTCGTCCGTGCGGAATCCCTGTCACCGAGCCCAACTTGTTCGAACGCGCGAAATGAAGAGCTTCGTGCCCCATGTGACAGCTGTGTTCTGATTCGCGAAATTTCCTACTTGCGACGTCGCGATTACCCAAACGATGAGTGACGAAGTAAGTAACATTTCGCCTGTTCGAACGAGCGTGCTGTTCGAACTGAGAGGTGAAGCGCCCTTAGCGAATTCTCGAGATTGTCGAGCGCCATGGATATCTGGAGGGCGAGCAAGGGAGGGAGGGAAGGATCGAGGGAATGAGGGGTTCGTCTGTTGAGAAATCAAGAGCGGATAGTTGAACAGGAGGGAGGGAGATGGTAGGCTACGGAGGAAGAGCGGATGCAGTTGTTCCCGTCATGCTAGTTACTAGGGGTTTATCGCGGCAGACTGGAATTGATATTTTGGATGATTTCCGACATACTGTCCAATGCATTTTTTTTACCTGCTGAACGCAGTCAACCGCCGCCGCGTTCGTCAGTGAACTTTCGTCCGCGTTTTCCGCCTTCAGCTGCGCCACGTGTTTCATCGTCGCCTGCGTGCGCTCCATTGCGCGCCGAATAAGCGCCCGCTGCATGCCGCGAGGAGTGGGCGGAGCGGAATCCGCGCGCAAAGAGCGCCGCCTTCCGCGGAGCACAGTGCAGAGTGTTCGGGAAGGAGAGCGCATGCGTCGGGCAGCGGAACATTGAGAATACGGGCAGCAGCTTGACCAATTAGAGCAATTTCGAACGCCATTATGAGAAGGACAGACCTGCACGTTGCCGAGCCCATGATGGAATTTCTCATCTCCCGTAAAGACTCACTTTTGCTCCTCCCAGTCGCGCGCCCTAGATGAAATCCCAAAACCTGAAACGAACAGCAGCGGACTAGTCCAGGAGCTGGAATTGAGCTAGTGAATGAGGAACGGGGGACTGGTGGCTTGATTGATTCGTGGGGAGAACGATATGAATCAATTTTTACGCGTTTCTCATTTCCCCGCACATGCGGCTCGAGCGAGATGGTGGATTATTTGCGCGGTACGATAAGCGGATCAAGTCACGGATGTGGATTATTAGCGCGGCTCGGGCAGGCTGGCTTATTGAAAACAGATGCCAACCGACGTATCATCCAACGATTCTCCGCATCTCACGCCTGTGCGCAAATAACGCAGTGCTATAATTCAAGCGCGATTGCTCCAATAATACGTCTCTTGCAGTAATAAGTTTTATTACTTCTACTGTATACTTTTCTTATATACTCGAAGAGAAGTCATAGCATCGAATACGTAGTCCAGTAACATATAATCAATCTTTTTAGCATAAATAATTATAAACAGATAAAAAATTCAATATTAAATGTTATAACTATCTGTTATATGTAAATCTCATGAATAAACAAAGCAGTACCTATCTAGCGACAAATGGACCGCCTCTGCAGACATTGTTGCTAGACTGATACTGCTAATATGGAGTATCTTGCACTAATATTAGCCACCTCGTTGGGGCTGCTGTTACGATGCTCTGGGGCTTCGCTATTAGCACACTCATTAAGTGCGTCCCTGACGCGACATCTCCTTTTTTCCCGGCAAACACTCTCCTGTTATTTCCTTCCTTCCCGCGCATCGCTTTTCTCTTCCCGATCGACTCCATCGCTCTCGTTGCGTCTCCTCGTCCTGCGTCCTTTCCGTTCCCGTTCCTCCTCCCTTTCCTCTGCTCCCATTGCTCTCCTTCTCCCTGCCTTCTCCCTCGCCCCTTCCCCTTTTTCCTTCATAATCTCCATCTCCCACGCGTGAGGGTGGCGAGATGGCGCTTGCCGGATTCGCCTTTGAGGTTTTCGGCAAGGTAACGGGAATGCGGTTTATCACCAAATTCCTCGTTTTTGTTTATATCCGTTTCTGTGTAGAACGACGCGTGTGCCTGTTTCGAGGCGCTCCAAAGGTTCGAAGTTACTTTTTTTTTGGGGGGGGGTGGGGGGGGGTTCGATTGGTTTCTGTGTTGAACGGCGAGTGCGCCTGTCACGCCTTGGCCAACACTCACATTCGTGCAAGTGTGCACGTTAAGAGTTCCTCCATTACGTCGCTTTCTGTCAGGTGCAAGGAGTGTCGTTTCGGTATTACACGAGCCACAAGGCGACCGCGCTGGGGCTGGTGGGGTGGTGCCGAAACACAGACATGGGGACAGTGGAGGGGGAGATTCAGGGGCGCAAGGAGAACGTGCAGGAGATGTGAGTGTAATGAGGTGGTTTAGGCTTGAGATGTGAGTGTAACGAAGGGGTGCAGTGGGGGCAAAGAGAAGGGGTACATGTGATGTGAGCAGTGAAGCAGCACATACGATATGAGCCGTGCATGGGAAGATGCGGGGAGGCCGTGCAGCAATGTGAGGGCTTGTCGTCTTCTCTCTTGCTTCGAATGAGTTCATTTGAAGCTCCATGTCACATGATTTTCTCCTTCCTCTCCCATCTCAATTTGGAGATGTTTATTTTCTCCTTCCTCTCCCATCCTTCCTCTCCCATCTCCACCCCCCATCTCTCTCCCCCTTCTTCCCCCGCCACCCCTCCTCCTTCCCTCCCCTCTCCTCTCTTCTCCCGCCTCCCCCACCTCCTCTTTCCCTCTCTGTTTTGCATTGGGCTGCAGGAAAGTATGGTTATGCACCACTGGCTCTCCTCATTCCCGCATTGAGCGATGCGCTTTTAAGAATGAGGTGGACGATCTTCAAGAGTTGTCTTTCAAGTCATTCCGCGTACGCCACTAAGCCTATTGACAATCCTTAGATACTGAGTACGGTAAGATACGGTACTGTAGTAGAGAAGATGTGGTGAGGTTTGTAAAGTAGAATGTAATGGAGGGATGTTACGGGGCTTCGTAGATTAGTACTGGTATGTGATATTTAATGTTTATGGTCATTGGGTATCAGTGAGCAAACCCTTGGCGATAATAAGAATGCACCTTGACACAAAAAATCTTCTCTTGCATCATAAATGATACATGGTACTAAAAAATATGGCCAGCTACAGTATGGTTACCACAAGAACCGTTGCAAGCCCTCATGCCCCTCCCACGTGAACGGGCGGAATAGAAAGAGTCCCATAGTGGCGATATCTACAGCAGCAAATGCACCGACAACCAGACCACAAGCAACCCTCTTTTCCAGGCGGTTACGAGGTAGAGGGAGGTGCAGCAGTAGGAGCAGGAAGGGAGGGATGAAGTAGCGGAATTCGAGGAGTGGGGATGGGACGAGCACTGCTCCTGTGGCAGCTGAGAAAAAGAAGAGGCCGAGAGGGGTCATGGCACGGCCTGTAGGGAGGGGTGAGTGGTAGAGGGAGGTGCAGCAGTAAGAGCAGGAAGGGAGGGATGAAGTAGCAGAATTCGAGGAGTGGGGATGGGATGAGAACTGCTGCTGTTGCAGCTGAGAAAAAGAAGAGGCCTAGAGGGGTAATGGCACGGCCTGTGGAGGAGTTTGGAGGAAGATGAAAGGGAGGGATGATGAAATGGGAAAAAGCCCGACTTGAGCATGGGAGAAGTTGCGCTGGTGCTACAATCAGGTACATACGTATGTAAGGTACGAGTGAGTTATTATTGAGATCTCTCTTTTGAATATCACTTTTGAGAATTCTCTTTGAAGAATCACTTTTGAGAATTCTCTTTTAAGAATCACTTTAGAGATTTGGGTGCTGTTATTCGGTAAGTTACATACGCAAGGTACGGGCGGATTCTCCCTTTTGAGACTGCTCAGGTACGGGTGAGCTTAGCATCCGCCCTGGTTTTTGAGAATTCTCAAAAGGGAGCAGTGAGGGTCGAGGGAGAGCAGGAAGCGCGATGTCAAGCGGCAGCAGCAGGAAGAGTGGATGATGTTGAGAGCATAGTCGCAAGCAACAAGGAGTCGAGCACGTGCTGAGAATACGTACGTACGTAGGGCGTGATAGAGTGCGGGCAGAGAGAGAAGGTAAGGTAGAGCGGCAGGAGGAGAAAGCGCCGTGACTTTTGAGAATTCTCAAAAGTCGCATTGGTATGGTACGTACGTAGGGCGTGGTAGAGTGCGAGCAGAGAGAGAAGGTAGAGTGGCAGGAGGAGAAAGCGCCGTGACGGGCTGTGGGGCGGGTTGATGAGCCGTGTGTCGTGTTGTGAATACGTACGTAGTGAGTGGTGGAGGGCGAGGAGAGAGAGAGCATAGAGTGGCAGAAGCAGGAAACGCCTTGACGGGCTGTGGGGCTGATTGATGCCGTGCAGTGCAGGTGCTGTGACTCAGTACGTACGTAGTGAGTGGTGGAGGGCGAGCAGAGAGAGAGCATAGAGTGGCAGGAGGAGAAAGCGCCGCGACGGGCTGTGGGGCGGGTTGATGAGGCGGCGCCAGATGTAGAAGGGGTAGTGGCGGTTGTCCGCTAGCAGATAGGGATGGGCGAGACTGGGAGGGGAGTGGGGGGAAGAGGGGAAAGAGAGGGATGAAGAGGGGGGAAGAGGGGAAAGAGAGGGGGTAACAAGTGATGAAAATCGCATGCGAGGGGTTGATGAACCAGTGTAAAAATCTGAGTCGCTTTTGAGAATTCTCAAAAGCGCATGGGAGGGGTTGACGAGCCAGCGTTGATGAGCGTAAAAATGTGGAAGGGGTTGTGACGGTTGTCCGCTAGCAGTTAGGGGTGGGCGAGGCTGGGATGGAGCAAAGGAAAGGGCGACCATGCTACCTGAAGTGTTTGATGGCGAGAAACAGCAGAGCGGAGGCCAGGAGAGAGAGGACGAGGCAGCGAATGGGGGACGATCGGAGAGAGCGAGAGGCGGTGGAGAGGAGGGGGAGGAGGTGGGGAAGAGGGGGGAGGACGGAGAAAAGGATAGGGCGACCACAATACCTGAAGTGTTTGATAGCGAGAAAGATCAGAGCGGAGGCGAGGAGAGAGAGGACGAGGCAGCGACCAGGTGATGATCGGAGAGAGCGAGAGGTGGTGGAGAGGAGCGGGAGGAGGGAGGAGGGGGCGAGGAGGAGGGGCGAGAGGGAGAGGGCGGAGAAGGCTGCGAAGTAGAGTGGTTGCATGAGATGGGGGGAGAGGCGGTGCTCTGTGCGTGCACCTGGTGTGGGGAGGAGTGGGGTGCGGTGGGGTGCGGTGGGGTGGGGTGCATGTGGGAGGGGAACACAGAATTGTGATGTTATGGAGTGGAGAAGGCTGCGAAGCAGAGTGGTTGCATGAGATGGGGGGAGAGCCGGTGCTCTGTGCGCGCACCTGGTGTGGGGTGGGGTGGGGTGGGGTGCGGTGGGGTGGGGTGGGGTGGTATGGAGTGCGGTGCGACGGAGTGTAAGAGGGAAGAGAACATGCTGTTATGGAGTGGAGAAGGCTGCGAAGTAGAGTGGTTGCATGCGATGGGGGGAGAGACAGTGCTATGTGCGCGCTCCTGGAGTGGGGAGGAGTGGGGTGGGGTGGGGTGGGGTGGGGTGGGGTGTGGTGTGTGTGATGGGAGGGGGTGCGGTGAGGTATGATGAGGTGGGGAGGAGAGCAAGAGGGAGGAGAGTATATTATCTTCTGCTATGGAGCTGCGGAAGGCTGCAGGGCAGAGCGGTTGTGTTCTTAGTCGACTCACAACACAAGCACATCAACACCCAGATACAAGCAAACATGGTGATGGTCTCATCTCATCATCACTCACCAACAACGATCCCCCCGTTGACTCGAACCAAGACAAAGAACGCCGCAAGCAAGCACCGCCAGCAGCAGTGTGTTTTTTATCGACTTGAAACACACTCACAACAGCACCCAGATACAGCACAATTATGCTCTCTTCACTCAACGACAACAATTCACCCGTTGACACGCAAAAAGACAAAGAACGCCGCAAGAAAGCACCGCCAGCAGCAGTGTGTTTTCGACCGCCAGCACCCGAATACAGCACAACCACGGTCTGATCATCACTCACCAACAACGATTCCCCCGTTGACGCGCACAAAGACAAAGAACGCCGCAAGCACCACCAGCAGCGGGAAGAAGTTTCTGAGAAACTTCCCCTGCATGGCCCACGCCCGGTGCAGCAGCAGCAGCAGCGCCCTGGGGACGTCTTCCCCTCTCGCAGCCGCCTCTGTGACCCAAGAAGGATCCGGGAAGCTTCTTTCTTGAAAATCGGTGACAGCGCCGTTGCGTAAGGTCCCATGTTTGTCGGTTCTGCCCCTGCTGTCCTCATCTCTTTCTGCCTCGTCCTTTCCCGCCTCGTCTTTTTCCGCCTCGTCTTTTTCCGCCTCGTCTTTTTCCGCCTCATCTTTTTCTTCCTCGTCCTTTTTCGCCTCATCCTTTTCCGCCTCGTCTTTTTCTGCCCCGTCTTTACAAGTCCCCTTGGGAGTGATCAGAGAAGTCGTCAGCTGTGGAGTCCCTTGGGGTTGGGGGGTCACTGTCAGTAGAACAGGCACGGCCAGGAAGTGCGAGACGGAGAGGCAGAGAGCAAGCAGCGCCCACACGGCGTTGTTCTGGCGAATGATGATGCTGCCTGCTGCTAGCTGCCAGGGGGAGGGAAGGAGTAGGACGAGGGATGGGAGGGAAGGGGAAGAGAGAGACGAGGGAAGCCTGTAAGGCAGCACAGGAAGTGGACAGGTGGAGAGGCAGAGAGCAAGCAGCGCCCACACGGCGTTGGTCTGGCGGATGATGATGCTGCCTGCTGCTAGCTGAACAGGGGGGGAGGGATGGAGTAGGGGGAAGGAAGAGAGGGGAGACCTGTGAGACAGCACAGGAAGTGCGAAGCGGAGAGGCGGAGAGGCGGAGAGGCGGAGAGGCGGAGAGGCGGAGAGGCGGAGAGACAGAGGGCGAGCAGCGCCCACACGGCGTTGGTCTAGCGGATGATGGTGCTGCCTGCTGCTAGCTGCCAAAGGGGGGAGGGAAATAGCGGGAGAAAGAAGAGGGATGAACACACAACTGTAGACTGCTGAGAAACAGATTAAGAGACATTCCAGCGAGCAGCAGTGCGGCACGGCAGAAGAGAAGAGAAGAGCTCTCACCAGTGCAGCGCGGTAGTGTTGCTTCTTGTACACACATCGCATCATAGCCAGCACGGCTACAGACGAGGCCACGTCGGTGTAGAACAAGAATCCAAAGAACCAGTGCAGCGGGAACAGGACAAACATCGCCGCCCTCCACGTGCAGTCCTCGTCGACTTCGTCCCAAGGCGCGTGGCCGGGGGTGCGGCTTTTGGTGTCAGCTTGCGCGTCGTTCCCAGTTTCGTATTGAGTTCCATCTCTGGTGTCGTCTTGCGTTTCGTCTTTGGTGTCATATAGGGTTTCGTATCTGTGCAGGAGGGCAGCGACACCTCGAGGCTGTGAATAGGGCTTGCCCGCCTGGGGGAAAGATGGGTAAAGATGGGTAGAGATGGGTAGAGAAGGGTAGAGATGGTTAGAGGAGCCACAATAAGGGATGAGGGGGTTATTCTGAGTCGACTCAGTAGACCTTGCATGCCTGCCTGACCTGAGGTATTCGGCGGGTCGCGGAATGACAATGGATGAAGGATTGGACGATGGGGCATGGTTCCTTGAAATTCACTTTTGAGAATTCTAAAAAATGGAAGGGCCGAATGGGACATGGTTGCGTTTCATTTCACCAAGTGAGCAAGCTTCGACATGGAAGGACCGCGTGGAGGCAATTTCAGGGTTTCTTGGAGGATTCTCAAAGAAAACCTGCAACAGTTATTTAGTCGACTCTAAAATCGTCCCATCACACTTGGAGAATTCTCAAAGAAAACCTGCAACACCAAGCGAGCTTAACCGTGTGGAGGCAATTTCACATAGAAGGGAGGAGAGAAGAGGAGGAGGGGAGATTGGAGGGGAGGAGCAGAAGAAAATAACGGAGGGGATGGAGAGTTGGGAACAACGAGGCAAAGGCATGCGTACTTTGAAGGAGAAGAAAGCTGGAGAAAGGGGAAGAGGACGGGGAGGGAGGTGCTTTTTGAGTTGACTCAAAAGGCAACAAAGAGGCAAAGGCATGCGTACTTTGAAGGAGAAGAAAGCTGGAGAAAGGGGAAGAGGACGGGGAGGGAGGTGCTTTTTGAGTTGACTCAAAAGGCAACAAAGAGGCAAAGGCATGCGTACTTTGAAGGAGAAGAAAGCTGGAGAAAGGGGAAGAGGACGGGGAGGGAGGTGCTTTTTGAGTTGACTCAAAAGGCAACAAAGAGGCAAAGGCATGCGTACTTTGAAGGAGAAGAAAGCTGGAGAAAGGGGAAGAGGACGGGGAGGGAGGTGCTTTTTGAGTTGACTCAAAAGGCAACAAAGAGGCAAAGGCATGCGTACTTTGAAGGAGAAGAAAGCTGGAGAAAGGGGAAGAGGACGGGGAGGGAGGTGCTTTTTGAGTTGACTCAAAAGGCAACAACGAGGCAAAGGCATGCGTACTTTGAAGGAGAAGAAAGCTGGAGAAAGGGGAAGAGGACGGGGAGGGAGGTGCTTTTTGAGTTGACTCAAAAGGCAACAACGAGGCAAAGGCATGCGCACTTTGAAGGAGAAGAAAGCTGGAGAAAGGGGAAGAGGACGGGGAGGGAGGTGCTTTTTGAGTTGACTCAAAAGGCAACAACGAGGCAAAGGCATGCGTACTTTGAAGGAGAAGAAAGCTGGAGAAAGGGGAAGAGGACGGGGAGGGAGGTCCTTTTTGAGTTGACTCAAAAGGCAACAACGAGGCAAAGGCATGCGCACTTTGAAGGAGAAGAAAGCTGGAGAAAGGGGAAGAGGACGGGGAGGGAGGTGCTTTTTGAGTTGACTCAAAAGGCAACAACGAGGCAAAGGCATGCGTACTTTGAAGGAGAAGAAAGCTGGAGAAAGGGGAAGAGGACGGGGAGGGAGGTGCTTTTTGAGTTGACTCAAAAGGCAACAACGAGGCAAAGGCATGCGTACTTTGAAGGAGAAGAAAGCTGGAGAAAGGGGAAGAGGACGGGGAGGGAGGTGCTTTTTGAGTTGACTCAAAAGGCAACAACGAGGCAAAGGCATGCGCACTTTGAAGGAGAAGAAAGCTGGAGAAAGGGGAAGAGGACGGGGAGGGAGGTCCTTTTTGAGTTGACTCAAAAGGCAACAACGAGGCAAAGGCATGCGCACTTTGAAGGAGAAGAAAGCTGGAGAAAGGGGAAGAGGACGGGGAGGGAGGTGCTTTTTGAGTTGACTCAAAAGGCAACAACGAGGCAAAGGCATGCGTACTTTGAAGGAGAAGAAAGCTGGAGAAAGGGGAAGAGGACGGGGAGGGAGGTGCTTTTTGAGTTGACTCAAAAGGCAACAACGAGGCAAAGGCATGCGTACTTTGAAGGAGAAGAAAGCTGGAGAAAGGGGAAGAGGACGGGGAGGGAGGTCCTTTTTGAGTTGACTCAAAAGGCAACAACGAGGCAAAGGCATGCGCACTTTGAAGGAGAAGAAAGCTGGAGAAAGGGGAAGAGGACGGGGAGGGAGGTGCTTTTTGAGTTGACTCAAAAGGCAACAACGAGGCAAAGGCATGCGTACTTTGAAGGAGAAGAAAGCTGGAGAAAGGGGAAGAGGACGGGGAGGGAGGTGCTTTTTGAGTTGACTCAAAAGGCAACAACGAGGCAAAGGCATGCGTACTTTGAAGGAGAAGAAAGCTGGAGAAAGGGGAAGAGGACGGGGAGGGAGGTGCTTTTTGAGTTGACTCAAAAGGCAACAAAGAGGCAAAGGCATGCGTACTTTGAAGGAGAAGAAAGCTGGAGAAAGGGGAAGAGGACGGGGAGGGAGGTGCTTTTTGAGTTGACTCAAAAGGCAACAACGAGGCAAAGGCATGCGTACTTTGAAGGAGAAGAAAGCTGGAGAAAGGGGAAGAGGACGGGGAGGGAGGTGCTTTTTGAGTTGACTCAAAAGGCAACAACGAGGCAAAGGCATGCGCACTTTGAAGGAGAAGAAAGCTGGAGAAAGGGGAAGAGGACGGGGAGGGAGGTGCTTTTTGAGTTGACTCAAAAGGCAACAACGAGGCAAAGGCATGCGTACTTTGAAGGAGAAGAAAGCTGGAGAAAGGGGAAGAGGACGGGGAGGGAGGTCCTTTTTGAGTTGACTCAAAAGGCAACAACGAGGCAAAGGCATGCGCACTTTGAAGGAGAAGAAAGCTGGAGAAAGGGGAAGAGGACGGGGAGGGAGGTGCTTTTTGAGTTGACTCAAAAGGCAACAACGAGGCAAAGGCATGCGTACTTTGAAGGAGAAGAAAGCTGGAGAAAGGGGAAGAGGACGGGGAGGGAGGTGCTTTTTGAGTTGACTCAAAAGGCAACAACGAGGCAAAGGCATGCGTACTTTGAAGGAGAAGAAAGCTGGAGAAAGGGGAAGAGGACGGGGAGGGAGGTGCTTTTTGAGTTGACTCAAAAGGCAACAACGAGGCAAAGGCATGCGCACTTTGAAGGAGAAGAAAGCTGGAGAAAGGGGAAGAGGACGGGGAGGGAGGTCCTTTTTGAGTTGACTCAAAAGGCAACAACGAGGCAAAGGCATGCGCACTTTGAAGGAGAAGAAAGCTGGAGAAAGGGGAAGAGGACGGGGAGGGAGGTGCTTTTTGAGTTGACTCAAAAGGCAACAACGAGGCAAAGGCATGCGTACTTTGAAGGAGAAGAAAGCTGGAGAAAGGGGAAGAGGACGGGGAGGGAGGTGCTTTTTGAGTTGACTCAAAAGGCAACAACGAGGCAAAGGCATGCGTACTTTGAAGGAGAAGAAAGCTGGAGAAAGGGGAAGAGGACGGGGAGGGAGGTCCTTTTTGAGTTGACTCAAAAGGCAACAACGAGGCAAAGGCATGCGCACTTTGAAGGAGAAGAAAGCTGGAGAAAGGGGAAGAGGACGGGGAGGGAGGTGCTTTTTGAGTTGACTCAAAAGGCAACAACGAGGCAAAGGCATGCGTACTTTGAAGGAGAAGAAAGCTGGAGAAAGGGGAAGAGGACGGGGAGGGAGGTGCTTTTTGAGTTGACTCAAAAGGCAACAACGAGGCAAAGGCATGCGTACTTTGAAGGAGAAGAAAGCTGGAGAAAGGGGAAGAGGACGGGGAGGGAGGTGCTTTTTGAGTTGACTCAAAAGGCAACAACGAGGCAAAGGCATGCGTACTTTGAAGGAGAAGAAAGCTGGAGAAAGGGGAAGAGGACGGGAAGGGTGGGGTCCTACTCAGAACAATACCTTCTTTGAACGAGCTGTGTCTGATGTTACAGCAGCAGCATCAGAAGCACCAGAAGCACCGGCAGCAGCACCGGCAGCAGCACCGGCAGCAGCAGCACGGGCAGTGGAGTAGAAGAGAGGGAAGGAGAGGACGAGGAGGAGGAGGTTGAGGGATCGCAGCGTCACAGGGGAGCACAGGGATGCGAATGACACGCCTGCTGCTGACGTGGCGTCGGACGTGGCGTCTGACGTGGATGCCACGTGGGCAGCGGTTTTGACGATGCCTAGGAGTTGCAGGAGGGCGTATTGTGCGCCCACGAATATAAGAGCTAGGTAGTAACTGGGGGAGGGGGTGGAGGGGAGAGGGGAGAGGGGAAAGGGGAGAGGGGAGCGGGTGGAGGGAGGAGGGTGGGGGAAACGGTGGAAAGAGTGGGGGGATTCAGGAGGGCGTATTGTGCGCCCACGAATATCAGAGCTAGGTAGTAACTGGGGAAGGGGGTGGAGGGGGTGGGGGAAAGGGAGTAACGCTCGGTCATGCGGGAGAGGAGATGGGGTGGAATGAAGAGTGGGCGTGCTTTGAGGCGCCTCAAAAATCGATTGAGAAGATGGACGAGAAAGAAGGCGAAGAGAAGGGCGTTCGACCGAGCGTGTGACTGAGAAGAAAGGGAATGGAGGGGGAGAAAGAACAAAAAAAAAGGGTGAAAGGGAAGAGGGTGAGAAGAGAGAGTGAAGTGAGGAGAGGGAGGAAAGAATAAGGGGGCAGTGCAGGGGTCAAGGGCACAATTTTGTGCTGACTTGCGTTGACTTGCGTTGACTTACAGGCCAGGCAGCGTGGTGATGAGCGGATGCCACGTCAGCAGGTCCCCTCGGCAGTACTGCTGTGTCTGAGGCACGTGGAAAATCTCGTCCTGAATTTCAGTAGGGGGAGAGGACGGGGAGAGAGGAGGGACTCTTGAGGCGCCACACCACACAAGGCATCACACCACCCCTACAACACAAGGCATCTAATGCCTGAAGGCGCCACACAAGGCATCTAATGCCTGAAGGCGCCACACCACACAAGGCATCACAAGGCGCCACACAAGGCATCTAATGCCTGAAGGCGCCACACAGGTGGAATATCTCATGCTGAATTTCAGGTAAGGGAGACGAGGAGACGGGCACATAAAACAATGCATAACATTCTGAATCCGTTTTCCGAGAATTCTCAAATGACATTTGAGAATTCTCAAATCATAAAACATTCTGAATCCGTCTCACACCGTGTTTCTTAGCATGCTGGTCGCGTCGCGTGCTAAGAAATGGGTGGAATTTTGTGTCGACTCAAAAGTCGACTCATATAAGCTGACTTATTAATGTCACCACGGTGCGACTCAGAAATAGACTCCTTGACCTGCCTTAAATATGTGTCGCACGGTGTACTGACCAAGGCGTGCTAGCAAACGAATTTACAGTGCTGATCGACAATTTTCGCGTCGTAAGAGATCAATCTCGCACCATGTACGGTTGAGGAACATGGTGATTAACGAGGCGCCTCAAAAGTTGGAAGACCCTTCCATGTACGGCTATTATTATAACATCGGGTATTATTCTCGCACCATGTATGGCTGGGGAACATGGTGGTTAACGAGGCACGCCACCACTGCGCCGCTCACGAGGAGCGCTTCCGTCACGCGCCGCCGCACCCATTTCAAGTCCACACGACCCGCTGCCATCATGCTGACGTGTCACAACTGCTTCGACGGCGTCACGGTGAAGAGCGCATGTCAGCGGCTCGCGGGAAGCATCATTAGTTGGGATCGAAGAAGAAAAACAGGTTGATACAGCAGTAATGTGGCACTGCAGGAAGAGCAGAGTGGATCGAATTCGTCTCTGCTTCTGGCTGCAGCAGCAGGTGTGTCAGGACTCAGGAGCACACTAGGTACTAAATTCTTGCGCGGTTGAATGCGTTCTGATAAGGTTTGATGAATTCACATTACGGTTCAAGGCGGTGGCTGAAATTGACTGTATGATGTGATGGTGGATTCGTGGTTGCGAGAGTTTGGCGCAGAGTGCGCACCGTAAGAGACAACTCGATTGCGTTTAGACGTCCCGAAGTTGAAAAATCAGGTACAAAATAATGGTCCTACTACTGTCTACCTAGAACCAAATGCTAGTGCAGAATCAAGAGTCGGGTATTGAACGCTCGACTGCAACCACGCATGAGTTCAAGGCCCCCAGCTTTAGGCTTGAACAACTCGTATAGATGATAGTGTCATCAGTGTATCGTTAGGCAAGTTTGGTACAGGTGTGGCTTTAGCTGCTGCTACAGTGCCGGATGGTGTGTATGATACGGTGCCAGTGGCGGCGAGGGCAAGTTTTAAGATGTTACAACTACTGCTATGGCAGCAAGCGGCGTAATAATTGTGGTGCAGAGGCAGACAGGAGGGAGGAACTGTGGTGCTACTGTTGCTTCTTTGCTGATTTGCTATAGCTGATGCAACAGCTACTGCTACGGCTGCTGGCGCAGGAAATCGAATGCAGGGGCCGGAGGGAGGAACTGGGGAGGTGGCACCTGCCTGCAAGCTGCAGCTGCTGTAATAAATGCTACAGCTGCAACTACTACTGCTGCTGCTGCTGGCGCAAGAAATCGAACGCAGGGGCCGGAGGGAGGAACTGGGGAGGTGGCACCGCAAACGGGTTGATTGGCGGCACTGCTGCTACCACGGCTGTGGGGGTGAAAGGCAGGCTGTGGGAGGGTTGCAACGGGGTGAAGAGGAGAGAAGAATGGGTCAAAAGTGGTGAAGAGGGGTGTAGCAGACATAGGGCACGGCGAGCGGGTTGATAGGTGGCACTGCTGCTATCACGGCCGTGGGAGTGAATGGCAGGCTGGCAGAGGGATGGGGTTATGGAGCGGTGAAGAGGGGTTTGGAGAGGCGACAGACATTCGCTGGGTGTGGGAGCGGTGTGAGAGAGCCGTAGGGTATGGTTGGAAAGGCGACAGACACGTTTTCTAGGAACGGGTTAATGCGATGCCCCACACTCACCCTTCAAAAGCCAACGCTATCCTTTTTACAAACTCACCCTTCAAACGCCTCCAGGAGTTCAGACTCACAGTCCTCCCCTGCTCCCCTCAGCTGCTGCAGCACTGGTTGGTAAGCTACGAGGCCCTAGTCATACCACCATCCCATACGATATTGTGAGCTGCTCTTCCTCACGCCCCCCTATTGTGAGCTGCTCTAGGATTGAGAAACCCCCTGTTATTGCACCCGAGAGCCCTCTCCCTGCGTCATTCATACCATGCCATACGCCCCACACTCACCCTTCAAACGCCTCCAGGAGTTCAGACTCGTAGTCCTCCCCTGCTCCCCTCAGCTGCTGCAGCACAGCCCTGTCGAAGCCCCGTGAGCCATACACCTCGTCCTCGAACCACGAGCACAGGATGGTGAGCTGCGTGAAGTTGAGCGACGGACACATCGCTACCACCTCCTCCATGGTCTTCCGTGCTTTTTGTTTTGCCGTCTATAGGGAGGAAGAGGGAGAGGGGAAGGCGGAAAGAGAGTGGGCAAGGGGAAAACCACGAGCACAGCATGGTGAGCTGCGTGAAGTTGAGCGACGGGCACATCGATACCACCTCCTCCAAGGTCTTGCGTGCTTTCTGCTTGGCGGTCTGCACGTGGGTGGGAGGAGGGAAGGGTCGGAGGGAAAGGGAATAGAAGGAGGGATTGAGACGGATAATAAGGAAGGGGAAGAGAGGCAGGGGAAAACCACGAGCACAGCATGGTGAGCTGCGTGAAGTTGAGCGAGGGCCACATCGATACCACCTCCTCCATGCTCTTACATGCACATTGACACTACCTCCTCACCAGCAATAACACCGCCTGGTACGTGTGCTGCAGGGCGTCTATCAGCCTGGTCCGCGACCCCCTCCCATCCCTCCCACGCCTTCAGATCCGTAACCCATGGGTGCACATGCCTTGAGAGCCTAGCAACTCACCAGCAATAACACCGCCTGGTACGTGTGCTGCAGGGCGTCTATTAGCCTGGTCCGCGACCCCCCTCCCACGCTTCCAGCAGCAGTGCCTGCTCCGATGCTCCCCACGCTCCTGCTCATGCCCATTCCTGTTGCTGTTCCATCCAGCCAGGGGTGCACGTGCTCTGAGAGCCATGCTTCGAGTGCTTGCAGCCCTTGCTCCATGGCTTCTCCATTGGCGAGCGTGATGGGACACCAGTGGCTGCGCAGCATGAGGCTGTTGGAGGGGAGGCACGGAGGGGAGGCACGGAGGGGAGGCACGGAGGGGAGGCACGGAGGGGAGGCACGGAGGGGAGGCACGGAGGGGAGGCACGGAGGGGAGGCACGGAGGGGAGGCACGGAGGGGAGGCACGGAGGGGAGGCACGGAGGGGAGGCACGGAGGGAAGGCACGGAGGGGAGGCACGGAGGGGAGGCACGGAGGGGAGGCACGGAGGGGAGGCACGGAGGGAAGGCACGGAGGGGAGGCACGGAGGGGAGGCACGGAGGGAAGGCACGGAGGGGAGGCACGGAGGGGAGGCACGGAGGGGAGGCACGGAGGGGAGGCACGGAGGGGAGGTAGGTCGGCATGAAGGAAGGAGGGGCTGAAACTTCAACGGAAAAAACGATTCACCGTTTCTTTTCACGTTGAAGAGGCGCACGTTGGGGAAGTGCAGCAGCTGCCAGAGCAGGTGGCGGGCCAGCACGGTCGGCACGCGTGGAGGGATGGAAGCAACAAGGGTTTACCTGATGAATCCCAAGGGTTACCAAACGACTTACCCATTGAACAACCGCACGTCCAGGAAGTGCAGCAGCTGCCAGAGCACATGGCGGGCGCACTTTGACATGTGCCGACATTGAAGGCATAATCTGAAAGCAGAGCGACTCACCCGTTGAACAGCCGCACGTCCAGGAAGTGCAGCAGCTGCCAGAGCACATGGCGGGCGCACTTTGACATGTGCCGACATTGAAGGCATAATCTGAAAGCAGAGCGACTCACCCGTTGAACAGCCGCACGTCCAGGAAGTGCAGCAGCTGCCAGAGCACATGGCGGGCGCACTTTGACATGTGCCGACATTGAAGGCATAATCTGAAAGCAGAGCGACTCACCCGTTGAACAGCCGCACGTCCAGGAAGTGCAGCAGCTGCCAGAGCACATGGCGGGCGCACTTTGACATGTGCCGACATTGAAGGCATAATCTGAAAGCAGAGCGACTCACCCGTTGAACAGCCGCACGTCCAGGAAGTGCAGCAGCTGCCAGAGCACATGGCGGGCGCACTTTGACATGTGCCGACATTGAAGGCATAATCTGAAAGCAGAGCGACTCACCCGTTGAACAGCCGCACGTCCAGGAAGTGCAGCAGCTGCCAGAGCACATGGCGGGCGCACTTTGACATGTGCCGACATTGAAGGCATAATCTGAAAGCAGAGCGACTCACCCGTTGAACAGCCGCACGTCCAGGAAGTGCAGCAGCTGCCAGAGCACATGGCGGGCGCACTTTGACATGTGCCGACATTGAAGGCATAATCTGAAAGCAGAGCGACTCACCCGTTGAACAGCCGCACGTCCAGGAAGTGCAGCAGCTGCCAGAGCACATGGCGGGCGCACTTTGACATGTGCCGACATTGAAGGCATAATCTGAAAGCAGAGCGACTCACCCGTTGAACAGCCGCACGTCCAGGAAGTGCAGCAGCTGCCAGAGCACATGGCGGGCGCACTTTGACATGTGCCGACATTGAAGGCATAATCTGAAAGCAGAGCGACTCACCCGTTGAACAGCCGCACGTCCAGGAAGTGCAACACCTGCCAGAGCACATGGCGGGCCAGCACGGTCGGCACGCGGTTGGCTTGCATGCAGCCCACCGCACTCCGCAACGAGACAAGCGCCGCCGCCCAGAACTCACGCATGTGCTGCGCGTTTGCAGTGGGGCTCTGATGGGGAGAGAGCGGATGGTGAATGGGGGGGGTTGGATGGGGAGGTTGGAGAATGGGGGGGGTTGGATGGGGAGGATGGAGAATGGGGGGGGGTGGATGGGGAGGATGGAGAATGGGGGGGGGGGGGGGTGGATGGGGTGAGAAGGGACGGGGAGAACGAGCGCGTATTGGGAGAGTGGTGACGGGGAGAGTACGGTACGGATGGGGAGAGTACGGTACGGATGGGGAGAGTACGGTACGGATGGGGAGAGTACGGTACGGATGGGGAGAGCGAAGACAGAGGCACGGAGAAAGAGAAATGCATTATCGAGCAGCATAGCGAGATCCTGCTTGAGCACAACGAGACGGCGCTAGTTGCTGTACCAGTAACACTTGAGAGAGGTATCATGCGTCAAGTGTCTTTACCTGTGCAAGGAGCGACTTTAGAGACGTCTCAAAATGAGAGAGGACTTTTGAGACGTCTCAAAATAAGAGAGGACTTTTGAGACGTCTCAAAACGAGAGAGGTATCATGCATCAAGTGTCATTACCTGTGCAAGGAGCGAGACCACCAGGAGCAAGACGCTCGGAGTTCCAGAAAGGCGTCATCCAGCACCACTGCGGGCTCCTGCTTGAACACGAGGGGAAGACGCTAGCTAGTTGTTTTACCAGATCGACTTTACGTGCACCAGTCACTACCTGTGCTAGGAGAGAGACGAGGGTCTGTAGTTCGAGGTTGACAGAAGCACGGAGCTCCAGAAAGGCGTCGTCCAGCAGCACTGCGAGCTCCTGCTTGAACACGAGGGGAAGACGCTAGCTAGTTGTTTTACCAGATCGACTTTACGTGCACCAGTCACTACCTGTGCTAGGAGAGAGACGAGGGTCTGTGGTTCGAGGTTGACAGAAGCACGGAGCTCCAGAAAGGCGTCGTCCAGCAGCACTGCGAGCTCCTGCTTGAACACGAGGGGAAGACGCTAGCTAGTTGTTTTACCAGATCGACTTTACGTGCACCAGTCACTACCTGTGCTAGGAGAGAGACGAGGGTCTGTGGTTCGAGGTTGACAGAAGCACGGAGCTCCAGAAAGGCGTCGTCCAGCAGCACTGCGAGATCCTGCTTGAACACGAGGGGAAGACGCTAGCTAGTTGTTTTACCAGATCGACTTTACGTGCACCATTCACTACCTGTGCTAGGAGAGAGACGAGGGTCTGTAGTTCGAGGTTGACATAAGCACGGAGCTCCAGAAAGGCGTCGTCCAGCAGCACTGCGAGCTCCTGCTTGAACACGAGGGGAAGACGCTAGCTAGTTGTTTTACCAGATCGACTTTACGTGCACCAGTCACTACCTGTGCTAGGAGAGAGACGAGGGTCTGTAGTTCAAGGTTGACAGAAGCACGGAGCTCCAGAAAGGCGTCGTCCAGCAGCACTGCGAGCTCCTGCTTGAACACGAGGAACTCGACTGAGCCCAGCGCTGGCTGCTGCTGCTGCTGTTGCTGCTGCTGCTGCCTTGATGCATCGCTGAATGACGGGGCCTGAGAGGGGGGAGTGGCGCAGGGGAAAACAGGACAGGTGTGGGAAAGGAACAAGGGGATCAGAGCTCCTGCTTGAACATGAGGAACTGCACTTAGCCCAGCGCTGGCTGCTGCTGCTGCTGCTGCTGCTGCTGCTGCTGCTGCTGCTGCTGCTGCTGCTGCTGCTGCTGCTGCTGCTGCTGCTGCTGCTGCTGCTGCTGCTGCTGCTGCTGTTGATGCTGCTGATGTTGGCGGGTTACATCGTTGAGTGAAGGGGCCTGGAAGGGCGAAGGGGGGAAAGGGCAGGTGGGTGGGAGGGGAAAAGGGGATTAACCCCCCTGCACCAACCAGAAGCATCAGACGCGCTACGTTTGACAACCAGTAGTACTGCTAGCTCACCCTTCTACACACCTGAGAAACACACTTGATATGTACCAGAAACGCACCTGAGAAAACACTTGAGGGACTCACATGAAACATGTTCGTGAACCAGTTGGAGCCAGCAGCAGGCTTAGGTTTGTCCGCGGCAGCGGCAGCGGCAGCAGGTTTATACACCACCTCAACCAGCAGCATCAAGCACGCCACATTCGACAGCCAGTAGCACTGCTCCTTCACTCTCACCACCGGCACCCCACCCGGCCCCACCCCTCCTCCTGAAATAGAAAGGGTTTCCTCTTCTGGAAGGATGGCGGCTTGCAGGTGGCGGATGGTGGAGGAGAGGAGGGCGGGGGCGGAGGGGGAGGAGGCGGGGGGGAAGGCGCCAAAGTGGAGGAGGGTGCGGTAGATGGCTGGGGCGGCCAGAGGGAGGCCTTGGGGGGAGAGGCCGATGATGTGCGTGGTGAGGAAAACGAGAACGGATTCCTGGGAGTGGGAGGGAGGGGATAGTTGAGAATGAGATGTCTCAAAAAGTCAAGCTGTGGTAGATAGATGGCTGGGGCGGCCAGAGGGAGGCCTTGGGGGGAGAGGCCGATGATGTGCGTGGTGAGGAAAACGAGATCGGATTCCTGGGAGTGGGAGGAAAAGAGAAAGTGCGAAATGAGACATGCGCTTGAACCAGCTGAGAATGTGCTTGGTAGGGAAGACGTGTACTGACTCCGACTCCTGGGGGTGAGGGGAAGGGAGGGAGGGAGGGAGGGAAGGGGGGGGGGTAAGGGAGGGAGAGAGGGCCTGAGTAACTTGTGACCAGAGCCAAACCTGCCCATTTTGAGCGATTGCTTGCAGCATTGTCAAACTGAACTCGTGCATTAGAGAACGCTTTTGAGTTGCCTCGAAAATTGCAGCATCATTACACAGTACACTGAACTCCTGCATGAGAGAAACGTGGATGTCTTGACCCCCCCCCCCCCCCCCCCCACACACACACACAGACACACACACACACACACACACACACACAGACACACACACAGACACAGACACACGCAGACACACACAGACACACACAGACACACACAGACACACACAGACACAGACACAGACACAGACACAGACACAGACACAGACACAGACACAGACACAGACACAGACACAGACACAGACACAGACACAGACACAGACACAGACACAGACACAGACACAGACACAGACAGACGCACGCACGCACGCACGCATGCACGCACGCACGCACGCACGCACACACACACACACACACACACACAGAGAGAGAGAGAGAGAGAGAGAGAGAGAGAGAGAGAGAGAGAGGAGAGAGAGAGAGAGAGAGAGAGAGAGAGAGAGAGAGAGAGAGAGAGAGAGAGAGAGAGAGAGAGAGAGAAGAAGAAGAAACAGGCATGCAAGAGAGCAGCACGCAAGCGCTCACCTGGGGATTCTCCTGAATGCGAGCAATGGCAGCGTCGTCATACTGAATGGCAGCCAGCGATTTTAATGCACTCTTGAAAAAAGGAGTGTTTTGAGACGTCTCAAAACACTCCTTTTTTCACGTGCACTCTCCATCATCTCTCCACTCGCCCCCACACTCGCCTCCCCACTCACCTCCACACTCGCCTCCCCACTCACCTCCACACTCGCCTCCCCACGCCTCCCCACTCGCCTCCCCACTCACCTCCCCACTCGCTTGGGGGTTGGCCTATCAAGAGCACTCACCTGGGGGTTCTCCTGAATGCGAGCGATAGCAGCGTCATCATACTCAATAGCAGCCAGCGATCTCGAAGCACTCTCCATCATCTCTCCACTCGCCCCCACACTAGCCGCCCGAGCCACACTCCACACCGCAAGCGCTGACGCCGAGTCCACTGCTCCTCCTGAATACACTGCTCCTCTTGAATCCTTGGCTCCTGAATTCTTCGACCCTGCTTCTCCTGTCTCTCCCTCTCCTGCGCCCGAACTTGCTGTTCCTGACTCTGCTGCTCTCGATTCCGACTCTAATTGTGTTCCTGCTGCTGCTGTTGCTCCTGCACCCGCTGCTGCTCCTGCTGCTGCTGCTGCTGCTGTTGCTGGGGGTGAGTTGGCGAGGCGGGGGGCTGGGGGGAGGAGTGAACGGCGATGGGGGGAATGGGGCGGGGGGAAGCACCGCCACTGGGGGTCGCCTTACCACCAGGAGTGGGTTTCAAACGGCCCAAATTGGCCGCTGCAAATAGGGCCAGCGCGGGATTGAACCCTGCTCCTCCTGCCGGCGCTGCTGCTGCTGCTGGCCCCCCTGCTGACTGCACACCAGAATGTGCGGCAGTATGTGCGGAAATGGCTGCTGTGCTGGCAGAATGTGCGGCAGCGGCGGCAGCAGATGCTGCTTGGGCGCGGTGCTGAGAGAGGGTTTCTGACAGCTGCCGCACATCATTGTCCTTGCTGACCGGGGTGAAGGGGTGGGTGGGGGAAAGGGAGACAGCGGTGGGGGAAGGAGAGGGCAGGTTATGAGGTGCTTCAACTGAGAGCGGTGCTGCAAGAGGGTTTCTGACAGTTGGCGCACATCATTGTCCTTGCTGGAAGGAGTGAGTGGGGTGGGTGGGGAGACGGTAGGGAGGTAGTGGTGGTGAGAGACATTTGAAAGCTGAGAGATGGTTTCTGACAGTTGGGGGAAGGAGAGGGCAGGTTATGAGGTACTTCAACTGAGAGCGGTGCTGCGAGAGGGTTTCTGACAGCTGCCGCACATCATTGTCCTTGCTGACCGGGGTGAAGGGGGGGGGGTGGGGAGACGGTAGGGAGGTAGTGGTGGTGAGACATTTGAAAACTGAGTGGAGTGGTACTGTCTGTCACCCATCCTCCGTCCAAGCCCAAGACCCCAACCAGACCAGACCCCAACCAGACCAGACCCCAACCAGACCAGACCCCAACCAGACCAGACCCCAACCAGACCAGACCCCATCCAGACCAGACTGTCACCCACCTTTCCACCCTGTCCCATTCTTTCCCAGGAGCTTACCTTTTGAGTCGCTCCATCAGCACGCCCACCTGCCCCCTCAGCTCCTCCACCTCGTCGCTCCTCTCCCGCACCTCCCCTTCCGCCCTCTCCGCCCTCTCCTCCGCCTCCTGCAGCCTCCTCTCCGTCTCCCCCAAAGCGCCTCTCATCGCCACCACCTCTTCCCTTAGCTCCTCTAACTGTACCACACTGCGCGCCATAGCTGCAAACATGCCACTCCATGACGAGGATGAACCCCCTCCCATGCTCACCCCTCCTGCTCCGCTTACTGCTCCTCCTGCTCCTCCTGCTCCCGTTTCAGAAGCTACTTGCAGGATCTTGGGTGCCAGAGCACGCACACGAGACCAAGGGCTGCTGCCTTTCCCTCTGCTGCCGCTCCTCCTGCTGCCCCTGCTTCTCCTACTCCTCCTCCTGATCCTCGTTCCGCTCCGTCCCCTCCCGAACCTCCCAAGCCCTCCTCTCGAGTTGAAGCAACCATGAAAATCCCCATGGCAGCAGAGACTTCCCCTGCAGTGGAAACATGGCTTAACGGCGACGCATGCGCACCCCACCGCATCGACCTGCTGCCTGCGATCCCCCTCCCACTCCTGCTCCCACTCCCACTGCCGCTGCTGCCGCTGCTCCCTGCAAAACCCTTGCTGCTGCTGCTCCCTGCAATGTTCCTGCTGCTGCTGCTGCCAATCCCCCCAGCAGCCCCCCACCAGCCTTCTTTCATTGACATGCTTCCTGTTCCCTTCAATGCTTTCTGCAGGCTGTTGCTGCGGATGGCGCTGCTGCTGGGGCCGATCACATGGGAAGCACTGCGACTGCCTTGGCTGGCCTGCGTCCACGCAGCAGCAGGAGGAAGCAGAGAAGGAGAAGCAGCATCAGATGCAGCAGGAGGAGCGTCAGAATTATCAACAGCAGCAGCAGTAGCAGGAGGAGTAGCTGCCATGTCATCATCAGACAGGGTCGCAAGGACTCTCCACGAGCGCCGCACTCCGTCCAGGTCAGCTCCCAGCCCGCTTTTACCAGCACCAGCCACGTCAGCACTCACCATGTAAGCACCAGCCACGTCAGCACCACCAGTCACGTCAGCAGCGGCAGTCAAAGCTTCAGCGCCAACTACAGCAGCACCATCACCAGAACCATCACCACTTACGCTCCCGGTCTGCTCCTCAGGAGCGAAATGCGATTCCGGGCTTGGCTGTAGCGGGCTGTGTGTCCTGTCGCTGCTACAGCCGTGACCACTGCCACCGCTGCCCACGCTTGGCCCCCGAGACGGCGGCGGCTTAATCGAGGAACCGCGCCCAACCGCTTGACTTCCCGACAGGGAGGAGGATGCGGAAGAGAAGGAAGGCGAGATTCTGGCGCTCGGGCTGGATCGGAGAGAGCGAGCAGCAGCAGGCACTGATCCCCCCAAGCCCCTGCTTCGAGCAGCCGGGATTCTCAACTCAGGATGCTCTGCGGGATGCTCAGCCAGTCCCCCCACGCTGCTGCTGTTGCTGCTGCTGTGCCGACCGCCAAGCGCCGCTGCTGCTGCTGACAAAACGCTTCTAGTAGCCTCCGCTCCCGCTCCCACTCCCGCTCCTCCTCTTCCCCCTTCTTCCCCTCCAGCCCCCGCGCCCCACCCCCCTCCTTCAACCTTGGGACTGGAAGGAGCTGTGGGTCCCCTAGACCTGAGGTAATTGCTATAAGAGGAAACACTTCCCGTTCGGGAAAGAGCACGGGGGAAGCCCTGGTGGGCGACTGTCTGCTGCAGAACGCTGCGGGGGACGAGTCTCAGGAGCTCCTCGGCTTTCTCTGCCCGGTGCTTCTCTTTGTTAAGAGCGGCTTTTAGCTGAGAGATCTCCTGGTTGAGTGTTGCCATTTCGTGGGTGAGGCGCTTGACTGACTCCTCTGCCTCATGCCGCTTCTTCTCCTCGCGTTGCTGGGGAGGGAGGTTGGGGAGGAAGGGGGGAAGGAAAGGGAGAGGCCACGATTGGATTGGAGAGGGCAGGGCAGTGCAGCCACCTCCAGGAGACGCACCTTGATCCCCCCCAAAAGCGCACCTTGATGTCCTCAGGAGACTACCCACCCAGGGAGAGGCCACGATTGGATTGGAGAAGGCAGGGCAGTGCAGCCTTCTCCAGGAGACGCACCTTGATCCCCCCCAAAAGCGCACCTTGATGTCCTCAGGAGACTACCCACCCAGGGAGAGGCCACAATTGGAATGGAGAAGGCAGGGCAGTGCAGCCTTCTCCAGGAGACGCACCTTGATCCCCCCCAAAAGCGCACCTTGATGTCCTCAGGAGACTACCCACCCAGGGAGAGGCCACGATTGGATTGGAGAAGGCAGGGCAGTGCAGCCTTCTCCAGGAGACGCACCTTGATCCCCCCCAAAAGCGCACCTTGATGTCCTCAGGAGACCACCCACCCAGGGAGAGGCCACAATTGGATTGGAGAAGGCAGGGCAGTGCAGCCTTCTCCAGGAGACGCACCTTGATCCCCCCCAAAAGCGCACCTTGATGTCCTCAGGAGACCACCCACCCAGGGAGAGGCCACAATTGGATTGGAGAAGGCAGGGCAGTGCAGCCTTCTCCAGGAGACGCACCTTGATCCCCCCCAAAAGCGCACCTTGATGTCCTCAGGAGACCACCCACCCAGGGAGAGGCCACAATTGGATTGGAGAAGGCAGGGCAGTGCAGCCTTCTCCAGGAGACGCACCTTGATCCCCCCCAAAAGCGCACCTTGATGTCCTCAGGAGACTAGCCACCCAGGGAAAGGCCACGAGTGGATTGGAGAAGGCAGGGCAGTGCAGCCTTCTCCAGGAGACGCACCTTGATCCCCCCCAAAAGCGCACCTTGATGTCCTCAGGAGACCACCCACCCAGGGAGAGGCCACAATTGGATTGGAGAAGGCAGGGCAGTGCAGCCTTCTCCAGGAGACGCACCTTGATCCCCCCCAAAAGCGCACCTTGATGTCCTCAGGAGACCACCCACCCAGGGAGAGGCCACAATTGGATTGGAGAAGGCAGGGCAGTGCAGCCTTCTCCAGGAGACGCACCTTGATCCCCCCCAAAAGCGCACCTTGATGTCCTCAGGAGACTACCCACCCAGGGAGAGGCCACGAGTGGATTGGAGAAGGCAGGGCAGTGCAGCCTTCTCCAGGAGACGCACCTTGATCCCCCCCAAAAGCGCACCTTGATGTCCTCAGGAGACTACCCACCCAGGGAGAGGCCACGATTGGATTGGAGAAGGCAGGGCAGTGCAGCCTTCTCCAGGAGACGCACCTTGATCCCCCCCAAAAGCGCACCTTGATGTCCTCAGGAGACTACCCACCCAGGGAGAGGCCACAATTGGATTGGAGAAGGCAGGGCAGTGCAGCCCCCTCCAGGAGACGCACCTTGATCCCCCCCAAAAGCGCACCTTGATGTCCTCAGGAGACTACCCACCCAGGGAGAGGCCACAATTGGATTGGAGAAGGCAGGGCAGTGCAGCCTTCTCCAGGAGACGCACCTTGATCCCCCCCAAAAGCGCACCTTGATGTCCTCAGGAGACTACCCACCCAGGGAGAGGCCACGAGTGGATTGGAGAAGGCAGGGCAGTGCAGCCTTCTCCAGGAGACGCACCTTGATCCCCCCCAAAAGCGCACCTTGATGTCCTCAGGAGACTACCCACCCAGGGAGAGGCCACGATTGGATTGGAGAAGGCAGGGCAGTGCAGCCTTCTCCAGGAGACGCACCTTGATCCCCCCCAAAAGCGCACCTTGATGTCCTCAGGAGACTACCCACCCAGGGAGAGGCCACAATTGGATTGGAGAAGGCAGGGCAGTGCAGCCTTCTCCCGGAGACGCACCTTGATCCCCCCCAAAAGCGCACCTTGATGTCCTCAGGAGACTACCCACCCAGGGAGAGGCCACGAGTGGATTGGAGAAGGCAGGGCAGTGCAGCCCCCTCCAGGAGACGCACCTTGATCCCCCCCAAAAGCGCACCTTGATGTCCTCAGGAGACTACCCACCCAGGGAGAGGCCACGATTGGATTGGAGAAGGCAGGGCAGTGCAGCCTTCTCCAGGAGACGCACCTTGATCCCCCCCAAAAGCGCACCTTGATGTCCTCAGGAGACTACCCACCCAGGGAGAGGCCACGATTGGATTGGAGAAGGCAGGGCAGTGCAGCCTTCTCCAGGAGACGCACCTTGATCCCCCCCAAAAGCGCACCTTGATGTCCTCAGGAGACTACCCACCCAGGGAGAGGCCACAATTGGATTGGAGAAGGCAGGGCAGCGCAGCCCCCTTCAGGAGACGCACCTTGATCCCCCCCAAAAGCGCACCTTGATGTCCTCAGGAGACTACCCACCCAGGGAGAGGCCACAATTGGATTGGAGAAGGCAGGGCAGTGCAGCCCCCTTCAGGAGACGCACCTTGATCCCCCCCAAAAGCGCACCTTGATGTCCTCAGGAGACTACCCACCCAGGGAGAGGCCAAAATTGGATTGGAGAAGGCAGGGCAGTGCAGCCTTCTCCAGGAGACGCACCTTGATCCCCCCCAAAAGCGCACCTTGATGTCCTCAGGAGACTACCCACCCAGGGAGAGGCCACGATTGGATTGGAGAAGGCAGGGCAGTGCAGCCTTCTCCAGGAGACGCACCTTGATCCCCCCCAAAAGCGCACCTTGATGTCCTCAGGAGACTACCCACCCAGGGAGAGGCCACAATTGGATTGGAGAAGGCAGGGCAGTGCAGCCCCCTCCAGGAGACGCACCTTGATCCCCCCCAAAAGCGCACCTTGATGTCCTCAGGAGACTACCCACCCAGGGAGAGGCCACAATTGGATTGGAGAAGGCAGGGCAGTGCAGCCTTCTCCAGGAGACGCACCTTGATCCCCCCCAAAAGCGCACCTTGATGTCCTCAGGAGACTACCCACCCAGGGAGAGGCCACGATTGGATTGGAGAAGGCAGGGCAGTGCAGCCTTCTCCAGGAGACGCACCTTGATCCCCCCCAAAAGCGCACCTTGATGTCCTCAGGAGACTACCCACCCAGGGAGAGGCCACAATTGGATTGGAGAAGGCAGGGCAGTGCAGCCCCCTCCAGGAGACGCACCTTGGTCCCCCCCAAAAGCGGACCTTGATGTCCTCAGGAGACTACCCACCCAGGGAGAGGCCACAATTGGATTGGAGAACGCAGGGCAGTGCAGCCTTCTCCAGGAGACGCACCTTGATCCCCCCCAAAAGCGCACCTTGAT